TACTTTTTTTTTTCTCCGTCTTTTTTTTTTTTTTTTTTTTTTTTTTTTTTTTTTTTTTTTTTTTTTTTTACGACACGCGATTTATCAAGATCTACCGTCGACAATAAATTTCACCGATCGAGTTCGATGTCATGCCATATTGTGTATGTGTGTGGTCGATGACATTGCAATTTTTTGTCTTTTTTTTCTTTATTTTTCCTTTTTTTCTTTTTTTCCATACAACTCTCTCAGTCGAATTGCTTTGTTCGTGGCATATCGAAAGAATGTGATTTTCTCACTTGCATTGAATGGAAGTTTATTATTTTAAGAGCTTACCAAAAAAAAAAAGGAAAAAAAAGGAAAAGAAAAAAGAAAAAGAAAAAAAATGAGAGAGAGAGAGAGAGAAAGTAACGATGAAAATGATGAATCATTATTGTTGAAAAAGTTTACAATCCAGAATTAATGGATTAACTAGGAGCTAACGAGCTTTAGCAGCATCATCTGCATTTGCTTGTAAAATTTAATATAGGCTCTATCGAAGGTTCTTATCGATCTGACGTTTACATCGAGTGTCGTTAATTAAAAATCGAGTATCATGTACATGCATATGCATATATATGGAGATATATATATACACACACATACACACATACATACATATATACATACATACATACATACATACATACATACATATTCATATTAGAGTATATACAAAATCAGAAATATCGTTTAAATAAATTCAATATATATATATATATATATAAAATATAATCCAATAATTCACCATTACTCGATATTCATCGAATTAATGAAAATCCATCATTACTTGATAATTCATGGAACAATATGGCGAGATGAGTGACAAAAAAAAAGGAATAAGAGAGAGAGAGAGAGAGAGAGAGAGAGAGAGAGAGAGAGAGAGAGAGAGAGAGAGAGAGAGAGAGAGAGAGAGAGAGAGAGAGAAAGAGAGGACAGAAATCTCCGAAAATTCCACTGCATATCGATGGTAAAATTAAGAAACTCTCCAATTAAATATCTTCGAAATTTTTATTCGTAATAATGGCATCGTGATAATTGCCTTTATGATCGCGTAATAAAGGATATCCATTTAAATTACGGCCTCGCTGCTATCCGTTGATACAGAAAATTTTCAAATAAGTAACTACTTTGGCTTCGGATCGTGAGCCACCGTGAAATGTGGGCAGACATCATCGAGCATACACCTACGTGTTTCTAAATAAGGTTTATTCTCGTAGGTTGGCCTCGCCGTAAAGCGAAGAAGAATAAGAAGAAGAAGAGAAGGAAAATATGCCCCTCGTGCGGTAGTATCTTCAACGTTCAAAAGCAACCTGATCGACAGTGGCTTATCGAGATGAAAATATATCTACGCAAATGATTAAAAGTAATAAAAAGAGAGATAAATGAAAAGGGCGGAACGGAGGAGGGAGGAGGGGGAGAAGAAAATATTAACTATGAAGCACATAAACGTATGATAGATTTCAAAGTTCAAAAATTTCTATTTCTATCGATAAAGATCTATATTAATTATAATTAAAAAGAGATAAATGGGAAAAGAAAAGAACAGAAAGAGTGAGTGAGTGAGTGAGTGAGTGAGAGAGAGAGAGAGAGAGAGAGAGAGAGAGAGAGAGAGAGAGAGAGAGAAAGAGAGAGAGAGAGAGAGAGAGAGAGAGGAAAGAAAAGGGAAGGAGAGAGATGGGCAAATAGTAGCGACGAAACACAAACGTATGATAGATTTCAAAGTTCAAAAATCGTTTTATATATCGATATAAATCTATACGAAAATTATAATTCTTATTAAAAATTATGGCCTTGACACTCGTTCTTCTCAACTTTCGTAAAAACATTCCGTCGAAAGTTAATGGAAATCATCGCTTTACTACGTACATAAAGAGGAACATTTAAAAATGGTGGGCGTAATCGTTCATTCGAAAATTGACCAATCATCGTCCGCGTATAAATATTCTTAGACGAGAGCGGACAAATTCAAAGAGACAATTTATCCGATGAGAAGACAAAAAAAAAAAATGAAAAAGAAAAAAACACAAGACACCAAGAGTCACATGGCAAAATATTTTTAACACGCAAATTTGTGTTTACAGTAAAGATCGCGTATAAGTGTAAGCTTACAAATTTATTTTACTTTTACTTAAGTATTTTATTGCTCAATTCTTCGAATGTATTTTTATTACATAGAGAAACACACGCAAAAAAGTAGTTAATTACGAATTACGATCGGTAAAGTAATACGCGTAATCAACGATATCAAGGGCGTGGGTACGCACGTGCGTATACGCATAGGTTATGTGTCGGCAACGTAGACTTAAGGGAAGGTAAGCAAAAGCGATAAAAGAAGAAATGGTAGGGGGGAAGGAAGAAAGAGAAGGAAGAGAGTAGTGAAGGAAGTAGGTAGGAGAGGGAGAGCGAAGACCACTGCCGTTTTATTGGCAGAGGTGAACGACTGCAAGGTGGACGCTTGTATTTCGCGTAACCGTTCATCGTTCGAACAAACTCTAAGTTTCTAGGTCAAAGCAATGACGACTTTCGTACGTGTGCTCCCTGCCCTAAAAATTCGTTACTTATAAATGGTAGAATAAAGAGAAAAAGAAGAAAAATTGAGTGGAAACCGTGATGTTCGTCGTTAAACAATGAGAAAGACTGTAATAAAGAGTTAACCGCTTATTAAAGTGATTATTAACTGTCCAGTGATGCGAACACGCAATGATTATGAATGCGAACAATTGAGATGTTTCTAAAGAAAGAAAAATGCTTTTGGCAGTCGTTAATTTCATCTTCTATTTTAATTCCACTCTGAAATTCTTCCGGGGGTCATAATTATAATTGAAATATGTACTAATGCCAAATTCAATGTTGTCTGCTTTGTAACTTTTTAATGATTTCTAATCATGTGTAGCAAAAGGAGAAATAAATAAGAATGATTGCGAATACAGATTCCTTTCTACTAATTCATTATTCTTCTAGAATATTATTTTAATTCTTCTTTTGAATTATATTTCACGTTCAGATAATTTTCAAATAATTAATGATCAAGATTAGATAACACAATTCAAGGTTATTATGTGGTAAAATCATACTATGTTTTACATTACATAAGGGAGATGTTCATATGTCTGTAAATTTCTCATAATTTTAATTACCATTAATTTTTATATCAAACTACACACTGAATACATTGTATACAATGTGAATTGTAATAGCATGCATTGGAATGTTTATTTCTCTTTTGTTAAGATTATTTTGTCGCATATTTTATGATATTCCCACCTACAAAGATACCGTTGTATCAATATAATCTTTTAATCAAGAATATAGTTCTCAATTTGCTTAAACACTGCATCTTTATTATGTGTCATAATATAAAAATGATTAAAAATAATATGCTTTTTCTTTTAATTAAGATATTTTCATTAGTCAGCTAAAGTTCTGTAACATATTCATTTTTATCGTGTGTTCATAGATATATTCTTATCATAGAATTATATTTTAATGTATATAATTATTGCAATTATAAAATGATACTTGTTGGTATAAAATAAGACTAAAGGAATAACATAAAATATATTCAAAGGGAAACACAAAAAATGAAAGACGTTATTCTAGCAAGTATGTTATAATCATGAATTATACGTAATATTTGACAGTTTCAAAAGAAATCTTTAATTGTAATTTCTTAAGAATTTTTTTCGAATCTATATTTTATTATATAATATTGCTTCTATTAATTCCAACAGACTATTATCATGTAATCATTAAAGATGATAAGTTAAAATATTTTTATAATGACTTTATATATAAATATATATAATAAATAAATAAATATATATAATATGTACATTATCGATATAGTATCGTAACATATCTCGTTTCTTTCTCGAGGAGAAACAAAAGTTCTAAACATAGAACTGGTACTTGCACGACTAAAAACGAATCGTATTTCTATGCAATTTATTGATTTTAATTACCTAATATAATGTTAAACATTTGTAAATTTAGTTTTCAATTAATTATAGCACAATTTTGTCAAATTAATAAACTTCTCTGGACGAAAATTAGTGTCTAATATGGATTTTACTATAGAGACAATTTTGAGGTTATCTTGCACCAACCATCATGTCAGAAAGAAGTCACTTTGTAAGTTAAATAAATTATACTTTGCAATGTGTTATATATAAATACAAAATAAAGTTTAGAATATGATACTAATGTTAATAATAATAAATGTTGTTAATAAAATAATTAATAATAAAAGATGTAAGTAAAATTACTCAAAGTTGCAATGAACTGTAACTATTATTGTATTAGAGTTTGTAACATGATCTGAAATATCAATAGATTCATTAAATGATTATCTGTCTAATGAAAAATGATTAATGTATTTTAAAACAGAGCAGAATCCTTATCTATAATGTGAAAAATAGAACAAGTATTATGAGATTCCTGGACTTGATTTAAAAAGTTGTAAGACTTAATTGGATATCCATAAATTTCAAATACATGTAGATATTCAAAAATAATTCTATATTAATTGAAGTATCTAAGTAATGTATATTTATATGATCTTCTGCTTGTATAATACTTTATTACTTATTCAATAGGAACATGGAATTCTTTATGGTACAAATGTTTCCTACAAGGTACAACGATAAAAATTTCACTTCTTAATTTCTTCTAAAATTCTAAGTGTTACATGGAAATAGGAATGTCAATTTATCAGAGATCATGCATACCTGCATGATTTTACATATAACACTGAAAAATGAATCAGTGCAAAAAGCATAGGAGCCAGGATATATACATATATGTATATATATACACACACACACATACACACATATATTTATATATGCGTGTGTAAATAAGTAAGACAGTAAATTAATAAAAAGAAAGGGATGTGAAGGTGGGTGGGTGCTTGGGAGAAGAAAAACCAAGAAAAAAAAGGGAAAAGAAAGAAAATGAAGAGAGACAAAAAAGTAACTAACCTTTGAGCTGTGGTAGCTGTTGTAGCTCGACGTCCTGTGAGTTTCTATATCGCGAGGAACTCTGGGACTTCTTCGACTTCTTCTTAAGCGATCGCTTAGCGAAGGGATCTATCCGATCGACGAAAGTCCCTGACGACATGTTGGGAATCGTACTCGGAGGCACTCTAAGTATCTGTAGGGTTAACTCGTCGTCGTCTTGAACGATTGTACTTTACACGTTCGTGCCCCGATTTACCGGACGACGACGACGACGACGACGACGATCGACGACGACGACGACGACGACGGCGGCGACGACGACGACGACGACGACGACGACGACGACGACGATCGACGACGCCGGTGGCGGCGTTTGCGGCGACGGCGATTAGAGACGATGGCGTCGTCCACCTCGAGGAGGCCGCATTCCGCGTGGACGTTTACGTCGATATTACGACTCACTGCACTTTCACAATATTAAGTAAAACAGGTAAGAAGGGGGATGGATGTAGATGAGCTTCTCTAAGTGATGTCGATGGCACGCGCGCGCGCGCACGTACGTACGTACACACACAGAGAGATAGCAGACACACACATATACACATATACGCGCACACACGTAGACACGCGCGCGGCGCACGCACGTTCACGTACGTACACCTACCACACACGTACACATACACACTCACGCTCACACACGTACACGGTACACGTACGTACACTATTAGTAACGTAGGTAGTAGAATACACTAACGCGAATCGAGAGCACGTGGTATACCTGGACACGGTAACCTACTGTTCACGCGTTCCTGCGGCAGAGAAGGTCGACGGTCGCGTTTCGGTCGTGCATAGCACGCGCCCGCGGTGCTAGAGGGAGAGGAGAGGAGAGGAGAGGAGAAGAGAAGAAGGTGGTAACAGGGAGAAGAGGAAAAGAGAGAAGGGAGGTAATGCAGGGGGTGGTTAGGTAAGGAAAGATATCTTTCCTTCGAGATGTCGACGTGTCGATGGATTATGGGTGTCGCTTTTCGAATAGATCCATTGAGAACTAACCGAAGAAGATGATGATAATGATGATGATGATGATGATGATGACGACGAAAACGGATGAGGTGGACGTTGTGTTACTACTTCTCGAACGTCTAAATCCGTCCAGGAAGGAATCTTTTCTCTCTCTCTCTCTCTGTCTCTCTCTTTATCTATCTCTATATATCTCTATCTTCTCTATATAACTCCTCTATTTCTTTCTCTCTCTCTCTGTATCTATCTCTATATATCTCTATCTTCTCTATATAACTCCTCTTTATTTCTTTCTTTCTCTCTTTCTCTCTCTCTCTCTCTCTCTCTTTCTCTCTGTATCTCTTTCTCGCTCGAAGCTCTCGCTTACCGCCGGCAAATCGTCGTATCGTCGTGCGTCGTCGTATTCTTTCTTTCTCTCTTTCTCACTCTTTCTCGTCCCGAGAAAAGAGGCTCTCGTTTTTCTCTCTCTCTCTCTTTCTATCTTTGAGAGAACGCGCGCGCGCGCGCGCTATCTCTCTTTCTCCTTCTCGTTAGGCGTTGTCACACGCGGGGGAAGGGGAGGGCACGCACGCCCTGTGTGTTTCCCCTCTTATGTGTCGAGGCTTCTCCACCTACACCGTAAAACCGAAGCGTCGTCCGTAAATTATTTTTGCTCACTACGAGCGGATAATGAACTAGGCTACCTGCGAGCGAAGGGTGGTCGGCGGTCTCTCCTCCCTCTCTTTCTTCCTTACTTATTCTCTTTCTCACTCTCTCTCTCTCTCTCTCTCTTTCTTCTTTCTTACTCTTTTGCACGGACGCAAAGTACGTACGCACGCACGCACGCACGCATACACGTATTAACCCTTCTTCCTATCTTCCTCCCACTACTATGTTCTCACTCTATCTAAAACACGCACACACACGCCACCACATACAAATCGTTGCTCTCTCTCTCTCTCTCTCTCTTTCTTTCTTTCTTTCTTTCTCTTTCTCTCTCTCTCTTACACACATACACATATACGCACGTACACACACGCGTACACACTTACACACTCTCTTTCTCACGCACGCAGCGCTCTCACCGGTTTGCTCTCTCGACGGAGAATCGAAGAATTAGATGGAAAATACAGAGAGCACCGGCGGATTCGAATAGGAGACTCCTCTCTTGAAGAGGAGGCCGTAAGAGGACGGGGGAGATGGCGGATGGCCGATGATGGGGGAAGGCGGGGGCGGGGGATTCTTACCGAGCAGTCGTGCTTGCGTGTCGACTCTGGCTGTACGAAGCACCGTTACGAAATAGCTCGCGCGAGCCAGGGGCGGTCTCTGTCCGTACGAAAAGCGTCTCTTTTCTTCTATCTCTCTCTCTCTCTCTCTCTGCCTTTCCCTCTCTCTCTCTCGCTCTATCTCTATCTCTCTTTCTCGTTCTCTTTATCTTTCTCTCTCGCTCTGTCGTTCTTTCTATCTCGTTTCTCTTTCTGTTTCTAGATCATATGCACAGGGGGGCACAGGTACGCGGCGTTTTTAACACGAGTCGTATTTTTATATTCCTATGTTCGGCTAGCGTCGTCTCTCGGCACTTTCCTCCGTGAATTTTGTATAATAATATGAACGCACTCACACACTAGGAACGCGCACGCGAGAAACGTCGGAGGAGGCTCGAACGGCACTCGGCCGCCATCAGCTGCTCGTAGAGACGACGACGAGCTTCTTTCATTTTCGCCGACGAACGACGGAGACGATGAGCGCGACCTCGTCAGGCGTCGAGAACCGACGAAACCCGACGACGATCGAGCATCTTTTCCTTTATCGCTCTCTTTCTCTCTCTTTCTCTCTCTTTCGCTCGCTCGCTCGCTCGCTCGCGCGCGCTCTCTTTCTCTCTCTGACTCTTTCTCTCTTTCTTTCTTTCTCTTCTCTTTCTCTTTCTCTTTCTCTTCGCCTTCTCGAATGCGCTCGTGGCACGGACGACTAAGATTTTTAGCCCTTGTATACCGTACGGTAGATCTTCAATGACAAGGAACGAAAAAAAAGGAAAAATGTTTTCCCCCCCTTCGCACGAGATACAGATCGGCCTCTCTCTCTCTCTCCTTCACTTATTGAAAACCCGTCAAGAGGTGCCTTGTGTGCCTGAAAATAGTAATGTGCGTTCGGCAATCATCGGCCGGAGATTGCCGATTCTCCACGGAATTGCTCGAATCCTTAAGATGGCGCCATCGCACGAACCGCCGAGTCATACGATATCGTCGAGCCATCCCAATGGTCGATTCTCCTTAAAAGCAGCCAACATATTTCAACGGGGAGGGGCTTATGTTAACTCGCGGCTACGTTTAAATTGAATTTGTAAATCCGCCTATACGTATCGACGCGATACGTTACATGTAAAATTAATTTTATATATATATGTATTGTTCACTATAGTAAAAATATGAAACACTAGAAGAAGAAGAGGGGAATTTTAGGTTATCATATTCCTTCTTTGTCTTATTCAATACCGTAGAAATAATTTTAAGAACCCATGGTAAATAATTTATTGAAATTAGTAAATTAAATTTTAAATTATAATCCGTCATATTAATTATTATATTTTAAGATTCTTCGAAAATTAACAATTATCGATAAACGAATGAACGTTCAATTTACCACGGTAATGGTCGTAATGGATATACTGTTAAGTACCTATTGGCACTTATTCCGTACACTGCGGCATTGGTCCATTACCATGGAAACACTTTGACCAATCATATTTTCCTTTAAAAAAAAAAAAAAAAAAAAAAAAAAAAAAAAAAAAAAAAAAAAAAAAAAAAAAAAAAAAAAAAAAAAAAAAAAGGACAAAACGTGGTAATCTAAAACGTCTGCCTCTTTGTCTTCTAAAACCATTTATTTTGCACATATTCGATGATGTCGATGATCTATGATTCTGTTCGGTCATTGATTTACAAATATATATGATACACCACTGTGATGTTTAAATTCCAATTCCAATCAAGAATTTCGGATATTTCTGCATATATGGCGTCGTGCGATTTTTCTATTAATGCGGAAAATGTGGAAAGGTATTTTGACAGTATAGCATTGTCAGTAAGCGAAAAAGTGAATTTGCATATAAATGAGTTATGAAAATTAATTTATATATTAGCGATTATCGAATCGTTTTAAATATGCTCGAGAGATGTGCTGTTGGTATAAATTTTAATTATTTGTACTTCAAAGAGAAAATTATTTGTTAGTTTATCTTACATTTTGTCGATCGCATTTATGTGATTGCTATCAGTTCAAGTGTAGGATGCAAAAGATCGATAAGGAAGTGACTCGTTGTTATCATAAGGAATTTTTCTTAAACGTCAGAATTATTTCATAAGTTGTAGCAAGAGGTTAAGAATGTTCGTATGTTTTGACAGATAATTTCATAATTAGATTACGAAATGTGAAATTACAATAATCGATTGATTTTCTTATTCATTATTTAAAATATGCTTCTCTAATGTATATAAATCGTAAAATAACGAAATGTAAGTGAAATAATTTCACACACATACACATATATATATATTTTTATTAATGATTCTATTTGTGTTCTACGAGATGTAACAATTGTCGATAATTATTTTGTAGTTTTCTATACCATTACGATGCCGTTCAAATTTCATTTAAAGAGAAGCCGTCAATATAATGTAGTGTCCAAAAATCAATATGTAATATGTATAGAATTATTGGACACCACGTCAATAGAATGTACTTTAAATATTGACAGTTTGGGTCAAGAATGCCTGGATAATATCGTACAAAGATTAGGCCTTGTACAGCCTGAATTTTTTGGATTACGTTATATAAGCCGACATGGTTCTCCTTCTCCTCGCTGGGTAGACATGGATAAACCATTAAAACGGCAACTTGAGAAAGAAGCTAAGAATTTTAGTTTGTACCTAAGAATTATGTATTATGTGACAGATGTTCAATTTATACAGGACGAAATGACGAGGTAAACGAATTTTATAATAATTAATGATTATCTTGAAGACAGATATTAAACTATTGATGCTGAAATGATTTTATTTTATTTTTTTTTTTTTTTTTTTTTTTTTTTTTTTTACAAAGGTATCATTATTACCTTCAGTTAAAAAGTGATGTACTAGAAGGTAGAATTCATTGTAATTCTAGACAAGCTAGTCTCTTAGCAAGCTATTCGATGCAAGCTGAGTTTGGTAATTACAATACAGAAAGACATACAACAGAATGTTTGCAACAATGTACCTTCTTTCCCAAGGTGAGATATAAAATTTGGTATTATAGATATATTTAATATATAAATGTAATATATACATATATGTAATTATCTTCATGTTATAAGGATGTAATACAATCAGAACCAGGTGGACTAGATATTTTATTGCATAATGCAGTCTGTCAATATAAAAATTTGATTGGAGTAACACAGGCGGCAGCTGAAGAATTATATATTTCTGTAGTTATGCAATTAGAAGGATATGGTAATGAAACATTTCCTGCAAAGGTATATCAATTGTAATAATTCTAACAATTTATAAAATTTAATTTAATAAGCTTATCAATTGCAGGATAGCAATAATTCTGAAGTTATACTCGGTGTATCTTTAAATGGAATTATGTTGGTCTGTCCTAAATCTCAAACAACGCACTTTTATAGGTAATTATATTCTTGACGCCGGAATGAGAAAAATATTAATAAATGATATTTATCAATTTAATATGGGCCTTTATTTATCAGATGGAAAGATATTAGTAATGTAATAAATCATAAAAAAACATTTAGAATAGAATGTCAGTCTGAGGGCGAAGATGCAAAACAATTTATATTCAATGAGTCGCGCGATGCAAAATATGTATGGCGTCTTTGTATAGCACAACATACATTTTATATGCAACATCAAGAATCACGACCTTCAGAAAGATCTAATAATGGATATTTTGTAAGTAATATATATAAGAAAATAATATCAAAGATTTTAATATATGATCGGAACTTTAAAAGTAAAAGTGTAATTAATTATTATTCATATATTTATTCATAGGATAGCGATACGAATGATTCTGGGGAACAAGCAGTATCTATGGAAAATCGAACGGTAGACGATCATATGCATTGGACAAGCTACAATGATCTTTCAACTTCTCCTTATCCCGTAGTCTCGGTTTCTTCTACTGAAATTAATAATTTACGTGCCTTATTACCATCATACAGGCCAGCACCAGATTATGAAACGGCCGTTCAAATGAAATATAATAATGGAGGAAATGCTCCTCAGCCTTATTATGCAAATCAATCAACTATAGTTGGACAAGATATTTCGTGCCTTCTTGGTAATGTGGTAAATAGAAGTAGATATTAACTTAAATATTAATATCCGCATCGCATGATTTGAATATTTTTTTAATATTTTAAATATACGATCGCGTTATATTTACGTAACCAAATATATATTTTTTCAATAGCATCAAAAATTTTTATATGTAATACACACACATACACACATACACTTATATATATATATATATATATATATATATATATATATATATGTATATATATATAAATATTCTGTTTATAAAGATTAACAGAAAAGACTGAAACACGATTATTTCTTTTTATTAACGTATAATCTCTTTTGTTAATTAAAAAAAGTCTTTGTATTATATTCAAAATTTCAGCAATTAAACTGAAGATGTAATATATCTTATAGTAAAATATATTAGATGTTATAATACTCTATAAAAATGTTAAAATCTAATGCATAGAGTATTCTCAATAATTATTTTTTTTAGCGCTTTCTTGTTACTGTATTATTATTTTTAAGTAATTAACTTAAGCTTAAATTTTAAGTCAAATGCTCGAAACATATATATATATATATAATTTTTAAAAATTGTATAGTTTTGATGTAATCTTATTTTTGTATGAGATAATTATGCTTAATAAAATTGTTAAAAAATATATATAGTCGGCGATAGATATATCGTAATTAATCTTTTTTCTTTTTTTATTTTACTTTATTCAATAAGAATTATTTTAGTTAATAAATACTTATATCATTAATAAGTAAAATATTGACAATAATAATAATAACAAAAATATCACATACATTACATAGTTTTTTCAGTTATCACATATTATATCAATAATATATAACATATTTACAAAAATAATATTACATATATTATTTAATTTCCAAGTTATCATTGGCACAGCCAGCATTGTTAATAGCTTCCAATAAACTTGCCGGATTTGGTTTCGATGCAGTGGCATAAATTGTAAAATCAAACTCTATTAAGCTTTGTTTTGTTACAGGTCCAATTGCTACTGCTTTGATATTTTTTATATTATTAGGATATTTCTTTAATACAGATACAATAGATTGTACAGCAGATGGACTAAAAAAGACAAATATTTTTGGTAGAGTACCAATGACATTTAAGAAATCAGCTTCTAACGATTCCCTGGTTATGGTCCGATAAACAACAAGTTTGTGTAGATTTATCCTATTTTTGGAAAGAACTTGTTCAATCGTTTCGCGTGCTATCTCGCTGCAAGGGTATAATAGCGGTTTTGATATCTTTTTTATATCAGAAATAATGATCTCTGCGAGATCATTGGCATTACCAGATTGACTACCTAGACAACATTCTGAGCCAAGGTAATTTTCTGCGAGAGAAGAAGTTGCAGGGCCAACGCAATATGTTGGTAATTTTTGCCATGGAATTAGAGATTTTTTATCGTCCTTGAATACTTGCCGTATTGCTTCTACAGCACGTTGACTAGTCAATATTAAACCTACATTAAAACAATGTCATTGTTTATATCAAATCTTATATAATGAACCTTGAATTTTTATATATATATTACCATGATAATTGTCGGGCATTTGCAAGCACGTTTTCAAATCTGAACTGTTAATGAATTCAAATCGTGAGGTATACAAATAATCGCAATTGTAACCAGCTGATTTTAAAGTATCCAAATAATTGTCCTCCATTGGTACTTGTTCGGGCAATCCTCTACATAAAACTACATTGTCACATAATTTAGCCATGATATGAGAAATTTTATTGTATAAATTAATAATTATTATAAATCTTTGCAAATTAAATGATCATGATTGAAATATGAGGTTAGATGTAATCACAATATATATAATAAAATTTTATGGGGAATTAAAAAGTCACAAGAGATATTATTATTTTCTTTTAAAACGTTCACTCGTTTGTTTAAAGTCCATGATTAATAATGGAACAACGAAAAAGAAATTAATATACTAATCGATAATTAAATTGTCATTTTCGAAATTTAAATCATTCTATTTCTTGATTAGCTTTGACTAAACAAGACTACTTTTCAAGATTTTCTCTCATTGGTCGACATTCTCGACCAATCCGGTTAGTTCCGTGAATATGAGATAACCTCTTGATGAATTCGAATATATTTCTCGTTTGAATAATTATTATAAGATTTGAGCTTTGATAAATAAAATAAAGGATTGTTGAAAGAAGTGGAAACAACAAAAGAAAATTTATTTCTCGAATGTATTTTCGATATTTTTAAAATATCGCAATTATTCGAATTTGTAAACTTATCCATCGACATGGAATATTTAAAAGGCTATTTTATGTACAATATCCATTTATAAATTTTCTCTTGTAAGTTGAAAATAGTTATATATCATTGAATAATTTTTTAGATTGATATAAAAAAGAAGTTTTATATATATATAAAATTTCAAGCTTTTTTTCTATATTAATCTATGTAAAAATTATTATATATATAATTATTATAAATATATATATAATAATTGATTATTAATTTGACAAAGTGAAATGTTTTAAAATTCAGAAATTAAAATTCATTCGCAAATTCGCAAATCTTGTAAATAAAGAAAATTTATATATCATTGTATAATTTTTACTTGGATTAAAACGAAAAAAAAACAAAAATAAAACAAAAAAAAAAGAAACAATAAAAAAAAAAGAAACAAATCTAACAAGACAAACAAATTAATCACTTTATAGCACAATTTAACGCTCGTGATTGCAGATAATCTTGCAAAATTGATGGGTGCAAAAAGTGCGGGAAAATCTTAAAAATCGATAGAAAAATTTCGTTGTCATTTTTATTGAAACACTCTTTTATAGGGTACATAACTTATTATCTAGATAAGCAGTGAAAGAAAGTATAAAAAAAAAAAAAAATAAAAAAAAAAAAAAAAAAAAATAAAGGAAAAGAAAAAAGACAAAGAAAAAGAAACTGAGAAATGAACAATTTCTTATCGATCACAAAATGGATATTTATCCTCGTTACTATAGTTAAACATATTTAAACGTATATATACGAAGGCACAACGATCCTCGACCCTTACGCATTTGATTTATTTCGCCACGACAACGTATGATTGTGGGATTAAGGAAAAAGAAAAAAAAAAAAAAAAAAAAGAGAAAAAGCAAAATTATTATTTCCTTGCCTTCACTTGTCAGTTTTTCGTTTTCCTACTTTCTTCCTTTAGTTTCGTTTTTTCTTTTTCCTCTATTTATCTCGTCGTCATGGCAAAACTATTGAACTCTACGAGAACAATTATATCGTACAAGATATACCCCGTACAGAGTTCGAACATCGTAAAGGGGACCGAGTGCCTTCTGCGTATGCATTTAATTAGATAAAACATAATATTTAATTGTGATAATTAAAAAAAAAAAAAGAACAAAAAAAAAAAATAAGAAAAAAAGGTAAAAAAAAATGTATGCCCCTTAAACGTAAACTACGTACTATTGTACAACGTCGACGGCTAACTTATTATTAAATCGATCAAATTAATTAACTAAACGTATATCTCTTTCTTAATTGCATCTCGATTCAAAGGTAAGAGATAATGAAAAAAAAAGAAAAAAAAAAAAAAAAAAAAAAAAAAAGAAAAAAAAAAAAAAATAAAAATAAAAATAAAAATAAAAATAAAAATAAGATTAGAAGAAAATGCTGTATGAGAAATGAAAGATCATTTTATCAGCTCTTCGTTCAAGATATGTATGTACGTACGTACGTATGTATGTATGTATGTATGTATGTATGTATGTATGCATGTATATATGTATTTTTCGTTTGGTCTCGCGGGTGAAGTTCTTGTATGAAAAAATTTATCAAAATCTTTAAGGTATTACATATTCTTTCTTAGACACCCTGAGAGGAGGCCAATTTAACGCTCGATATATAAATCCATACTAAATTATAAAAAGCCTAATCTATACTATTATTCGTGTAGTAATAATAATATTTAATATTAATATTAATATTAATAATAATAATAATAATAAAAATAATAATAATAATAATAATAATAATAATAATAATACATATGTATATATATAATATAATATAATATAATATAATATAATATACTTAAATAATAATCACAAAAATGAGACCAAAGTCCGAGCACGCTTGTGGCCGGACAATTTCACCCATACATAAAATAACTGAGATAATAATTATCCGATTTAAGCGATTGTTTTAATGAGAGAACTCGGTGATAAATGGTGGTCGCAGATAAGATCATTCAAAAATTTAATGGTTCATAATATATAAAGACAACGCAATGATTACGTGCAATTTTTTTATAACTTTAGACTCTCATGAGATCTTTTAAAATTCTACTGTCGAATTTATCGAACGATGGGAGGGAGGCGCTTGATCAATTTGTTGGGGTTGAAGGTGATGGAGGAAGAGGAGAACCATCCCGTTGTTCGATAATTTATTTCATTTTACGATCAATTGGCACTGAGTACAAGAAAATAAAAAGATAAAAAATACGAAAAAAAGAAAACGAAAGAAAAAAAAATATATATAAGAATCACAAATGTTTCTTCGAACGAAAAAGAACCATAGAGAATGGGCAGACAGAAAAAAAGTATTGTCGTGTTTAACGATAGTGTTTATCCGTTGAATAATAAGACAATAACTTTTCACCGTCGATTAAAGAAACGATTAAAAAAAGAAATTAAAAGAAAAAAAAAAAAAAAAAAAAAAAGACAAAAAAAAAAAGAGAAGAAAAATATAATAAAATCGCTCTGATTTATTCTACTAAACGCCGCTTTTCAAAATTGTCTTGTTTGATTTTGCGTTCGCTTATCACTAAGATTATCGCTGGAAATAAAAAGCTGGAATGTGTATTTAAGTTTGTGTGTGTGTATGTGTGTACTGGATTTGTTCCATTCTTCTTTCTTTTTATCTTCTTTTTCATTTCTTCTGTCTCTCTCTTTCTCTCTCTCTCTCTCTCTCTCTCTCTCTCTCTCTCTCTCTCTCTCTCTCTCTTTCTTGAAACGCCACGTCGTACGAATTTCTTTGCTAGAAAAATCCTAATCGTTGTACATAGCACGGAATGATTTAGTATCACGTTGTGAGTTAGATCTTTCCTAAATCCTTTTAAACGTCCTTATAAACTAATACGATCGAAGCTTTTTTCCATGTAAATTTTTCTTTCCTTTTCTCTCTCTCTCTCTCTCTCTCTCTCTCTTTTTCTCTTATTCTCCCTTTTTTTTCTTCTTTTTCATCCTTCATCGCGGCAGCTTCGAACTTTTATATCGTACGTGTAACATAGGAGTGACATATGTATATACATATATATGCATGTTTATTATACACGTACACACACATATATATATATATATGTATGTATGTATGTATGTATGTATGTATATATATATGTATATAAATATAGATATATATGTACACATACATGGATAGATGCATATATACACATATATCTATTACAATATAACGCACATAACACGGACATAATTAATTAATATGTATGCACTAATATCGTGCGATAAACTTATATCTAAGCTAAGTTTTATTTATTAAAATAGGGTGAAAATAGAAAAGTATGACTTAAGTACAACCACAAAAACTTGGTCATTATTATGGCATTCATCTTATTATCTATAATCCATTATGAGATTAATTAATTAATTAAATGCTCACTTTTATTTCTTCTATTCTTCTATTCTTTATATCTCTTTTTCTATTCGTCTATTATCTTTCTCTCTCTCTCCCCCTCTCTTTCTCTCTATTTCTATCTATCTTATTCTTTTTTTCTTTCTATTTCTCTATTTCTGATCTCTATTCAACGCGAACAATCTAATCGACTATCCGTTTTCCTTTCTTCTTTTACTTTTTCTTCCTCTTTCTTTCTCTTTCATTTTTCTTCTTTTTTTCAAGCTTTCATTCGTCCTATCCAATCCTATCTCTCGTGATAATAAACCTAACGGAATTCATCATGCTTTCACGTCCGTTCGTTCGTTCGTTCGTTCGTTCGAAATTTATTATGAAAATTTACGGTTAGTAAAATTTCTTAGACAAATTTTTTAACTTCTTTTCTTTATCGGATGGAAAAATAGAAAAAAAAAGAGACGAAAAAAAAGAAGAATAAAAAATGTCAAATCTCAAAGGGAGAAATTTATTTCGTCAATCTTTCAAAAACAACAACTTCGAGATGTAACACTTTTCTTTTATCAAAATGTGGAAATTTTCTTTTATCCTTTTTTTTTTATGAAAAATATTCCTTCGTAAAAAGATCAATTTTTTTTTTGTTAATATAAATATATATATATATATATATATATTTTTGTTGCCGTTATTTTAATTAATTTTCACACTTTTTAAAAATAAAGTTTTCATTTCATATCAAATTATTTCAACGAGTGTAAGTTTTTTTCGAACTTTTCCTATTCTTTCTTTCTCTCTTTCCTATTCTTCTTTCTATTTTATTTCTATTTCTTTATTTCTCTCGTTCTATAAGAGATCGTATTATGTTCGTTAAATGATCGAATAGAAACGATGAGTTTGGATGGCTGACTTTCACGGGTATAAGTTACTTAATAAAAAATGTAGTCTCTCTCAATCAGTTATCTCTCTTTTCTCCTCTCTCTCTCTCTCTCTCTCTCTCTCTCTCTCTCTCCTTTATTGTTTCCTCTTCTTTTTATTTTTTTCTCTTTTTTTATCCCTTTTGCTCTTGCTCTCTCTCTCTCTCTCTCTCTCTCTCTCTCTCTCTCTCTCTCTCTCTCTCTCTTTCTCTCTGGCTATGAATTTTGATTAGTCGGAGACTAAAGAAGAGTCCGATATCTTCTATTGGTCCGCTCTCTTGCCTTCTTCAGCCCTTCGTCTATCGATCTGAAAATGAATAAAAGTGGAAAATTAAAATTCAAATGTTATGCTAAATATAAATATTACAATAAACATTTATCCATTTACTTTCGTATACAATATATATATATATATATATATATATATATAAATATTGGAATTTATTATTTATTATAGAATTATATATTAATTATTATGTATATTATAATTGCAAAAAATATATTATTTTATAATATATGTAATATAACAATAATATTATATATGTATATATATATATATATATATATATATATATATATAATATTATAAAATAATTTTATATAAATATATTAAATAATTAATAATATATCTATACCCCTAATTACAATATATAATATCCGTGGATTATATATACATCATATATATATACATATATACAATATATATATATATATATGTATATATAATAATGAAGGGGTATAGATTAAAAAAATTTTTTGTTTTATAATCTTCTTTTTCGTTTTCATTTCTTTTGTTCTTTTTCTTTTTTTTTCTTTTTCTTTCTTTTTCTTTCTTTTTCGTTTTATTCTTCTTTTCTTTTCAAATCAACGATAAACATCTTTTCGATTCCCGTATAATATCTCTTCTGAGAGGGTGGACGATATTACGTGGAAGGACTACGATCTAGGATTTCTCTCTTCTGATATAATGTAAGCCCCTTGAAGAGTACCAATAATTTGACGTAATTTAATAAACACGAGGGCTGCCTTCGCGTACGCGCACAGCTCGTGCGACTGTTATTACTGACAGTTTGATCGGTATCTCGAGAGTGCATAATAACGATGCACTCTAGCGAATCGCTTATAGTGGTGACCGATCATCGGTCATGCAAATTGGCAGCCCAAGAAGGGATACCTTACTCGCCTTACACATACATATATACATACAAATCTACATACATATATATATACATACATACATACATACAAATCTACATACATATATATATACATACATACATACATACATACATACATACATACATACATACATACATACATACATACATACATACATACATACATACATACATACATACATATATACATACATACATAAATATATATATATAAGATATTTGTTTGATTTATATTATGTACGACAATAATTAAATTTATTTTTCATTCGGCATTTCTCCTTTTGTTTTTTATATCACATTAAAAGAATTTCTTTTCTTTTTCTTTTCTTTCCTTTTTTTTCCACTTTTTTTTTTCTTTCTTTCTTTCTTCTGTTTTTTTCCCCATGAAGAAATTTCAAATTCATTATAATCTATTACATTGGATTATTAACTTTAATGATAATCAATGTAATCATGGTATCTATATAAAATATGTTTAAATTATGTAATGTGACTTATTGGTGAATGAAACAAATGTATACGGTGTAAGTAATATATTATAAGAAAATTGTAATAAAATCTTCGGATGATTTAGTCGGCACGTCTTCGAAGTTAATTGGTTAATCATTTATAAATGATTAATGGAGAATAAGAGGTAGTACTTCAATTATTTGGGAATAATAAAATCGATGCATGCATGTATGCATGTACGTACACTCATATAAAGGGTGTCCCGTTAACGTTATGTTCAACTTTTCCTTCGTATATTTCTGAATATACCATACGTTAAATGAAATTTGAATAATATATGTTTAACATAAAAGATGTATACAATAAAAATTGTATTAAAAGATACAAATATATATTATATAAACGATCATAACTTTATTTTCCATTTTATAGAGTTATGCATTTGGAATAATAATATCTCTTAATTTATTCGTAAGACATTCGTTTTTTTTTTTTTTTTTTTTTTTTTTTTTTTTATGTTTAAGACCAATAAAGCATATTACAAAATTTAACAAAACTCATTACAAAAAATTTACAACGAAGAAAATTCTATAATGTGAATGTTATATTGTATAATTATACTGTAGAAAGAGTAAGTATGCATTTTGTTGGTATCATGAAACAAATTGAAACTTAAAAAAAAAATTCAGACATACGTGCGTATATATATATATATATATATGACTTGGACAACGTTATAGAGGGTTAACGGAACACCATGTATATAATAATAATTGAGTAGTATGCAAAACGATGTTGCAAAACGAACAAAAGCTACCACCCACCAAGTACTCTCTCTCTCTCTCTTTCTCTCTTTCTCTCTCTCTCTCTCTCTCTTTCTCTCCTTTTCTTGTTTCATAGTCCGAGTAAAATTCATTTGATGTACCTGGGTATTTAAAGCACCGCTTTAAATCAATGGGACTTAATAATCAGTTCGAAGGCTCGTAATTCTTTAGCGCTCAGGAACGAGAGGTTGTAGGGTAACGGATATCGCAATGGGCTGTGGAAGAAACGTAGAGGCGTGCCGTGTCTTCGGTCGTGTATACTTGGGAGAAAAAAAAAGAAAAAAAATCATCAAGAACTCTGAATAAATTATCGGTCACAAATTTTCTCAATCAAATTCTTTCCTTTTCTTTTTTTTTTTTTTTTCAACCACGATTATATACATACACATACACACACATACGGTGTTACACTTAATGAAATTCCTTCGTTTATATTTATCAACGATTCGATTACAATCAAATTACACGAATTTTCGATAAATAAATCAATAATAATATTATGTCTTCTCTCGTCTATTTGTAAAAAATTAATTTACTTTTCTTTTTATTTTCTCTTTCTCTCTCTTTTTCTTTTTTCTTTTTTCTTTTTTTAAGACTAACGGAGTTAGTCTTAAAAATCATCCTAAGAGATAGATACACATTCCATTAATTTTCTATGATAAGAAAGTTACGTGTATGTAAGAGTTATTAATTAATATTGTTATTATTATTATTATTATTCTTGTTGTTGTTGTTGTTATTGTTGTTGTTATTGTTGTTGTTGTTGTTGTTGTTGTCGTTAAATTGATATTGAAATAAATAACGTCGGAATTCTTTCAATATTTTATATCTATATAAATAATGTAACATGAAATATTATATATATATATATATATGCACAATATTAATATAGTGTTGGATTGGATAATAAATAATGTAAAAATTTTTATAATAAAAAATAAATACAAATGGGTAGTATTATTATATCGTTATAAAATATATCATTATGAAATTCTAATGTTATTTATTATTTTAACCCAACCCATAATAATAATAATAATAATAATAATAATAATAATAATAATAATAATAATAATAATAATAATAATAATAATTAATAAATAAATGAATCAATTGATTAGATAATTAATTTCTTACGTGATATTAATTTTTTTTTTTTTTTATTTTGGGAAGAAAATTTTTTTGATATTGGCATTTCTATGAGATCCATGATCGAGTAAAAACAGTATCTATGGTGGAAACGAGACGATCTTATGACGATAAATACACGACGTTAGTTCACCAACGTAAAATAAGGCGACTCTTCGCACAGGTATCACCATCCGTCGAAACAATAACCCTTTTATGGTCTCCTGCCATGCGTGTTCGCACAATGGCAGGGAGCAGCGAGCGAGTATACACAGAGAATCGGCCAGTGACGTAGAAACACGTTCGAGTTCTGCCACGAAAGATAGATCCTTCATTTTCAAATTATTTTTCTTCTTCTTCTTATTATTATTATTATTATATTTTGTTACATCGTGTCATTTTATTCGTGGATCAAATTATTTCATCTTCCAAATATTGAATTATCATTGGCAAATTATTTACTTTATCTTTAATATCGAATAAAGGATCATTAATATCGACGATAAATAAAATGAAAGATTTTCGATGTTCTTTTTATATCTTACAAATGAAAATAAATATATAGTATAGGGTTTGATATTTTTTATTTATTTATTTTTTTTTCTTTCACCAAAATAATTCTATACTGCAAACAAAACTTGTAGTGTTAATCATATTCTTGATCTTATAATTTATAATTAATTTATATATTTATACAATAAAAAAGAAAAAGGAAAAAACAGGTATCAGAAATTATATACAAATATATATATATATATATATATATATGTATGCATTAGTTCGATATATAATCAGTAGTGCATATAAGTACATTAATATATAGTAAAATTTATTGAATTACTTGAAACAAACAAAAAAAAAAGAAAGAAAAAAGAAAAAAGAAAAGAAAAAAAGAAAATTGTGATTAACCATTAAAAAAACAAAGCGAAAAAAAAGGGAGTATTACAGTGACCTCGTAGAAAGAATTTTAAAAATGCTTCACAAAAATGTCATTAAAAAAACAAAAAAAAAAAAAAAACAAAAAAAAAAAGAAAAGAACCAATCACTTGAAATAAATGAAATTCTATTAGGAACATTCTGTGTAAACTTTTTCGAATGATATTATATAAAATTTTACGAATCGATAGAACGATGTTATATCTCAAATAGAAAAGTAGAAAATTATATGGAAGAAAATAGAATAGTTTTTACGGAGTAAGTATAATTTCTGTTTTTCTCAGTATGTAAAAAGAGAAAGATACAGTGAGAGAGAGAGAGAGTGTGTGTGAGAGAGAGAGAGAGAGAGAGAAAGATAAAGGTTTCAAAGTACAAAGGTTACGCCAGTGCGACGGTTTACTGAGGGGGAAAGATAGGCAGACGAGGAGGAACAAAGCGACCCACGCTACGGATATCGTCGTAGTAATATCCACATGACTAACCTAAGGGCGCCATAGCACAGAGTACTGGGACAAAGCGATTCTGTATTTTTATATATATATATATATATATAGTGGCGGCCATTATTAAAAGCGAATCTTACTTGGTTTAGCAATGTATCCCTTTTTTTTTATCTGATATATCTGACGCAATCCTAATTTTCAAACTAGAAATACGACAATAGATTATATTTAAAACGAACGTGTTATGTTTTATGCTAAAACATAGATTTTCATCGAAAATATTTATATTGAAGAAAATTTACAAAACGAATTGTCTTTTTTGTACGGATAATAATTTTCTAGTAATTT